AAAAAACAGAGAAAGTACTTTATGATTTCATCCACAGCATTATAAAAGCAAGAGAAACCGGGCTTTAAAAAAAAAGCCTCAACATTCAGAAGCAGGCACGAACTGACAAGGATTATAACGTGGTGATTTATTTGCCTTGTTTCCATCTCTTCCTACTTTAATGAAGTCACGAATGAAAGACAAATAAGGGACGTTTCTTATTTTTAATTGGTGTGAAGGGTTGTGTTGTATTTGTTGGAGTTCTGAACCAGGCTACTTTATCATCTTAATTCTACCCTTCCCCACACTCATGCCCCTACAGCTCTCATACTCATATTGTTTCGCAATTTTAGATCATTTAAAAAAATGGTTTGAATGCCCTGACTTTCAGCCAGCTCATTCCTGCATAGGTGACTGGAAATGCCAGGTTTCTGCTTGTGGCGCTCCCTCCCGTGGCTTCACTGTGAGGAGGAAATGCCGTTCTGTGCTGCAACCCCTCTATATGGAACTGGAAAGGGATTCAGCCGGCCTAACCAGAAGATCTCGATGGAGATAAAGGCCATCTGTGTGGAAACCCTGTACCTCTCTAAACTGCCTTCCTGGCTTCAACTAGTGCCTTTCTCCCTCTTGGAACCATGCTGCCAGGGGCTCCTCTACCAGCCCCAGACCCCTCCTCAAGACAGATGTCTGCATTAACTTGTCAAGTTCTACAAAAGCTTCATTAAACCTAGGTTGGAATCCTCATGAGTTGGAGGGGGATGAGTAAAGAGCTACATAGACTGGCCGTCTTACCTGCCCTGACCCCTGTCTCCCAAAGCCCAGCTTCCTCCACACCCATGGATCCCTGGAGGAACATTTGGGGAGGGGAAAGGGAACAATGCCACAGAAACAGCAATCCCCTATGTAGGCCAGGATTTTGGCTTCTCCTTGCAGAGAAGGCAGCTTGGACCAAAAATCCATAAATGATTCCTAAATGGTAGCAGCCAAACCACATCTCAGATATTAGTGAGCAGCATGATACAGGTACAGTATGAGAGCTACTGGCAATATCCTGTGAGGGAATGGAATTAAAACACTGTTACTGCCCCCCGTCAAGAAGAAATTATATGGGTAAAATGGGGCAAGGTAAAGAATTATTAACACAACAGCGACAAAGGTGGGCTATATGATACGCCTTCCTTCTATATGCACTAACTAGTTCATGAGACAACATAGGAGTGAGCAGCAACTCACCCTCCACCCGTTTGGTGGTCAGTAAATTTAGGTGAGCTGTCACCTTATTTCACCCTCCCTTATTAAGTTCTTGCACTTCTCTGTTAGGCAACTAAGAATGGAATAAATTGGATGGTGACTATGATAAGTTTTGCATGATCTCTAATTTTCTAGCAATATTGCTAAATAAGTCTCTGTACTGTACTATTGGAGAAAGATGGATGGATCAAACTCAGACTCAGTGTCAATAGGTAAACAGTGTAAACTCCGTTGATTTACCCAAAGGCCCTTGTGGTAGGCCTGAATTTGCCTTGTTTCATTTTAGAGTAAATCTCAAGGACAAATGTCTGTATTTTGTCCTGCACTGTTAAGTCTCCAGCACTGAGCAGATGACAACTGCAACTTAATTGGCTTAGTCACTGACCTGCTGGATTGTGAACTACATCCAAGACTGCAATGGGCCTTCTCTTTGGGGCAATGCAACACCCTTGTGTCTCGAAATTGCATTGTGACAAGCCTTTGAATGTCTAGCCCCAGAACTCCCCTTTCAACTTCACAGCCCTGTATGAATAAGGCCACTCCAGGGGCATGCCATGACAGAAAGAGGCATGCAGATATTTGTACTCTGGGAAGAATATAAGTGGTAGGTATTACTTAAGAGACATTTTTCTTCAGATATGAGTGTACACACATATACTAACATGATATTACTATTTGCTCAAGATAAGGGAGAAATGTAGTTTCTGGAGCACATGTGTAAAGTAAGAGCAGGGAGCTGAAAGGCAAGAGAGTGAAGAATGACTAAGCAAGTGCCTAGAAATATTAAAGGGCTGTTATTTGTCTCTGTGTTTGAGATTTTGCCTACACAGTGCCCTCAGACGTAATACTACGCATCAGAAAAGGTGACATTCTTTGTCTAACCCTTTAATATCTTGATGGGTTGCACACGCTTTTGGATACATACACAATGGTCACTTGTTCAATGTGAGGGTTGAGTCAGGGAATGAATCATAAAAATACACATCTTACCACACCAAAAAGGTTCTATGATACCATGGTGCTGATAAATTGAATTCTACACTATTCCTATTGACAGATTTTACAAATCTGTCCCATTAACATATTTGTAGATCTCACTCCACACATGAATGTGAATGATATTTATATTAATAACAGCATTATTCCTCTGAACGATTTGCAAAGAAATCAGAGATGATAAAGAAGCCACACCATAAATAAGATAGAGCCAAAAATATAAGGAAGGGCAAAGCGGTCACAAAAAACTGAACTGATGCTCAATTTAGGCCAGACCCTGTTCTGTCCTGTACACAGACACATGGGAGTAACCAGGTATAAAGTGCTTCCTTGTGCCAGCAACCAACACCACCATTCACAGGGCAAGAGGGGAAGCGCACTCTGCACAGCGTCTACGTTCCCAGACTGAACAAGAGAAGGGAGGACAGCCTTCCCCTCTACAACTCACAGGTCAGCATAGCTGTCCTGATGCATCAGTAACTGAATGCTGCACCTGATATTGACTTGGAGCACTTTACTACTTCCCCAGAGCAGTAAGGAAACCAGGAGGGAGACTGTGAATCCTAGAGTTACAATATTTCCTAGGCAGCTCCAGGAAAACACAACAGTATGTGGCCTCATTGCTCAGAGCAGACTGAAAGCTTATCATCACATATTTATAATAATAAAATCATAATTAATAATTAATAAATATAAATCACCTTCAGCTGAGATACTAGGGGTTCTGCACAGCTGAAATATAAAACCTACCAGCCACAAGAGAAGGAGATTAAACCAGATCATGTAATAACAACAATTTTTTTTGAAGTAACAAATCGTTAAAGTTCCTCTTCCTCTCCAAGTGCAATTTTTATTTATAATAATAACCTGACTGACAGAGAGAGAGAGAGAGAGAGAGAGAGAGAGAATGGCTCTATAGCCCGTGCTCATGGCATTCACCTGAGGGGGGGACAGCCAGGTTCCAGGCCCTTCTCCAATGAAAATTTAAATTATTTATAGAAAATAGCTTCAACAGAAGAGACAGAGAAACCCATCCGAGAATACCAAATATCCCAGTGGTTAGGCACTCACCTGGGATGAGAGATTTGGGTTCAAGTCCCTACTCCAGAGCAGGTATTCAAACCACATCCCAGGCAAGTGCCTTGGGCTATTGAGTATAAAGGAGTTACTGCCACCATCTCCTCCTCGGTTTGGTGAAAAACTGAAACATGTCAAAGCAAACTATTTCGATGTTTCCAAATTTTTTCTTTTTTTCTTTCCGACCAAAACAATTCACCAGAATGGACCCGAGTTCACTAAATGTTTCAGTGGACCCAAATCTGCATTTTTCAGAAAAAGAAGATTCAGCCAAAAAAAAATATTCACCCAGCTATAGTCTCCACATTGTTTTGGAGGGGAAAATAATGACAAAGAAAAAGCATCCTGGTCCTAGCGTCCACTTTCTCCGCCACTACACGTCAGGAACCCCATCAACTAAGTCACACCAGTGTAAGTCTGAGTAAAATCAAGCCCATCAAATTCTGTAGCAGTGTGTGTGATGTGTGTATTTTAGTTAATATGTTATGTTGTGTGCAATAGATCTGAGTTACAATTCTGTTAAAAACTTAACCTTGCATTCTTGACATTTATGCACATAAAATCTCAATCAAAAGGATGCATTAATGTAGATTTCTGCACTTGATTGCTTTGTTTTTAAGGGAATTAAAAAAATACAAAGGAAAAAGAAACAGGATTGATAAAAATCTGAATGTGAGTTGGGATATTCAAACCACCCCACATTCAAATCTGTGTCTGTCTGCGTCCATAGACTGTCTTTTGTTTTATTCTTAGATTGTAAGTTCTTTGGGGCAGGGATTGTCTTTTTGCTTTGTGTTTGTACAGCACCTAGCACAATGAGATCCTGGTCTACGATGGGGGCTTCCAGATGCTACAGTAATACAAATAATAAATGTTCTATGACATAATAATCAAATAAATGGACTAGTGAAGTAAACAGTTGTGAGGTTTTTTGGTCAGAAGGAGTACAAGGTCATTGCAGAGTGAGGAACAAGGGGCTGCATGGGGCTTTTGGAAGATAGACTGAAGATGCTTGTCATTCTGGTGGGTGGAGCATTAGGCAGGTGGGAGACGGTCAGGTTGGGGTTGTTTGTCACTTGGTAGGAGTCCCCAGACAACTTTCCTTCCTCTCTACCTCTAACCATAGCCTTACCATCTCTCTATGTTCTTCTCCATCAAAACGATCTCTCCTCCTTTGTTGTACCCCACTCCCTTTCTTGAAAGAGCCTGGGACAAAGCTACCCCTGTGCTGGGCCATGGTGTAGTGAGACTGCTTTGAACAATATGTACCCTGAACAATATGAATCTGGAGCGTTCCACATCTTGACTGGCCATGCTCAGAGCTTCTGTATGTCTGGAGTTCTGAATAATGAAATAAAGCTTTTGGGGGGAGCCTGAAATATCCTCACTTTCCTAAGCAGGCACTAGTCTGTGAGCTCCTGTCATTGTATCATTTAACTTTTCCTCAGTAGCTGAAACTCACATAGACATGAACATATTCTTGGCAACATCTCTAAGTTTTGACATTGATTGGGGTTTCCTATTCGTTTTCTGCCAACAGGAATGGCATAATCGTCAATGAATAAATCATTTCTCGAACTAGAAGGGCTACCAAGTAACTAAAACATCGCTTATCATAACCCGGAAAAAAATATTTCCTACTGGAAGTGCCATGAGCATTCTGAACCAAAAGAAAAAATATTAAGGACCATACTTACTATATGTCGTGCTGCAAAGACTCCATCAACTATTGCACAACAGAATGCTGCTACCACTCCAAAGCTGATAAATACGATGGATGCTACCAACTAGAAAGAGAAAAGCGGATTTAACAACTTGTTCAGTGCAATTCTTGAGACACAATTATAAAACAAATTGCTTTGGCAAACTAGAACGAGACGTTTCACTTGTGTCATCAAATGTAATCACTTAGTTTGCCACCAATTCAGTGAGAATACCGGTGGTACAAGGCAACAAGGCAGAAATTCTTGCAGCTACCAGTACCTCTGAATTGATATAAAACCCAGTTTGTTGGAAAAGCTTAAATCTTTCCATTAAAAATGAAAAAAGCTGTAAGAGCTATTAAATTCAATGGTGATTTCTCCTAAATCAAGTGTATCAAATAAACCAGCAGTGGTCTCTGTAGGGTGCATGGCAAAGACAAAAGCCACTTCCCCATTGGCTCATATAAATCTGTAAAGCGTTGTTACAGCAGTAGCAATTCATGCGCACAAATAAGAACCTTGCAACAAGCTAATAACCAGCCAAATGCACATCCGTCAACTGTAAGAAAGCTTTTGCTACCCCAACCAGCTTATTGATTCTTTTTCCCTTAGAAAAATCCAAGTACTAAAGTTATATTCCATGTTTAGCTCCTCCACATTGTTTATAAGATTTTCCAAAACTGCCTGGAATCACCTCATTTCCTCTGGAGTTTGTTTAAACATTTCCCAACATTTAAGATGTTCTGAATACATTAAGTGAAGCATTTTATTTATTTAAATCAAAACAAAGCAGAAATACCATCAAAATATTCCAACTTTGAAATGCCCTAGTACGCTACAATTAAATGTTATAGCACATCATTCATACATACATGCTATATCATAATACTCATCAGCTACCATAATGGAAATGTAGCTAAGTACAGTAGACAAAGTGATGTATCAATGGTTGGTAAGAAGTGCTGGAGTGGCAGGGAAACAGAGTATAAGAAAAGGAGCTCTGGCAGTTTGTACACTTACAGGTGATCTCTCAACCTTTTAAGCCATCTAAGTCAATTAATATACCTTAAATAATAATTTGCCCTGACAATCTTCACACCTTGACCCTGATCCTATTTACTTCTATGTACTGAGAGGAGTCCCACTGATCGCAACAGGGCTTCTCACAGAACATAAACTTAAGCATTTGCATAAGTCTTTGCAGGATCAGAACCTTTATTCCTAAGGTGCAGTGGGGGAGGTTTAAGGTTTATTTTATTATTTAATATTAGCTCTCCCCCACATTGACTCCAACAGAGACCAACTCTCCCCTTACAGGAGCTGGTGCCAGTAACTGCAGGAGGCAGGTGACGCTATACAGATCCTTAGGGGTTGTCTACACTTACTGGGGGATTGACGAGCGGTGATCGATGCATCGGCAGTCGATTTAGCGGATCTAGTGAAGACCCACTAAATCGACCGCTGATCGCTCTCCCATGGACTCCTGTCCTCCACCAAATTGAGAAGAATAAGGGGAGTAGACGGAAGAGCGTCTCCCATAGACATCGCGTAGCGTGGACCCCAAGGTAAGTAGATCTAAGCTACGTCGATTTGAGTTATGCTATTCACGTAACTCAAATTGCGTAGCTAAGATTGAATTTTCCCTGTAGTGTAGATAAGGCCTTATTCTCACCATCATGGAATCTTCTGTCTTTAAAGACTTTCATTGAAATGGGCATCCTCGAAGTAGCTATGGGTTTTTCCCCCTCTGCTCTCTCCCAAGTCTCTTACTCAGTCTGAATCTAAACTATAGAGGTGGAAGGAAAGCACATTGGAGCAGCAACGGGGGAGTCGTTGGTCTTCCTGTGTGTTTTATAGTGCCTAGCACATTTGGTTGCTACCACAATATAAACAACAATCATAATCTGCAACTGCTGGTTTTCGTCTTACAAGTCTACTAGCGACAGTTCTGGACTTCATTTCAATTATCTCATTAAGATTGTAATTAAAATCAATTAAGGACATATTATTCATGGAACAGAAGGGCTAGTGTTGCCCTTCTCTTAACAGATAGAGACCAATTCTTATGCCAGCCACACACACTCAATAACAGTTGCTTATTCTTAGTTAAGTATTGGGCTCAGTAGATTTGTGGTTTGCCTGTGATCCAATGAGCACTCTATCACTAACATCATCCTCCAAGCACATAATTCATTACTTAAAAACATGTTACAAAAATATTACACAGCTGATACATCAGCCACACTAAGACAACACATAATTCCCAGTACTCCAAGCATGCATTAAATTGATACAAAGGACCAATAAAGGCCAGAGCAGCCTCATTGGCAGAAGCTATTAAGGAGACACATGCTCAGAGTAGTTCACAACTGCCCTGGCCAGAACTCTTTCCAGGCCATTGCCACC